TTTTCTGCCTTCAGTTATAGCCATGTAACCCTGGCGAATTGAAGTGGGTTACACAGGGGACAGCGTGAGCACTCGGTGTATGGAAAGCTCCACCTATGGCCTTTGCTTCCGGCCGATGACTGAAGGTCATGTCTTGGCTGGAGTGGGATTAGGGGGTACCCTCACATTGCTGAATCCACTCTGAAGGCCAGTGTCTCACACTATAAGACAATAAGGAAAGAGGGCGGGGCTTAATCTTCTCCATATCCCCAAAAGGAAAATCAAATATTCATTCACAAGGCTCTTGCACATACCCGGCCCTAAGGAACCAAGTTTGCTTGCCTCTTGGAGAAGAGCTGACCTACAGATGTTGAACATCTGTGGGGCTGGCAGTGGATGCTGAAGGGAGCTGTGCCAGGTGAGGAGGGAGGGTTTTGGTTGCTCAGAAGTGGGATCAGCTGGTGGCTTTTGGGGGGAGTTTGTTCCAGCCTCCTGCTGCGGTGTGAACTGTTCTTAATGTGACCCGCCCTCCCGACTTGGAGTGTTTGGGTGGCGGTTGGCAATTCTGATGACATTTTACAAAAGTAAAAAAATGTCAAACATCTCAGCTGCTCCCAAACAAACACAAACAAAAAAAGTCAATGACACATGGGTTGTCTAACTCATACCAGGAGGAAGGAGTTTCCCTAAAAATAGAATTTTCATCCGAAAAAAAATTAATCTAAACTGGACATTTTTTCTGCCCAGTCATGACTCTTCATGACACAATGTGATCACACAATGCAAAAAAATGTCATGTTGTGACCTCAGGTTGCGATCTGGCGACATTTCCCCCAGCCTGAAATAGTTTACAGGCCAGTTAAACAGTGCCATGAATGGCACATGAAGAATGAGGAACTGCCCTGGTAAATTTCAGACACTCGTTTGCAAAATTCAGGGTAACGGCAGCTTCCATACTTCAGCATTATGTTTTGCAGGGTAAATTAAACAATTCGCTGCCTGTCTCACTTTCTAATCTTAACATCTCTCCAGGTTTTTATACCATTACCATCACTATCAATGTCCAGTCCCAGAAAGATTTCAAAGTGATTGTTTTAAGAACAATATTATGGGCCAAATTTAGCACCGATTTAAGCAGGTACAGTTAACAGGACTGTCAATAGTAGATGTACCAATTTACTCCAGGGTTGAATTCGATGTTACTGAATTCAGACTACTGATTTTTCCGTTTTCTGCCTCCCGTGGGTTACGTTGTTAGCTGCTGTGGATATTCCAAGTTCTGCACAAAAACTGCAGTTTATCGAAGTTTGGGCTCTCTCTAAATAAAGAGCTTGCAAAGAAAAGAAAAAAAAGGAAATTCCACAGGAAGTTCAAATATTTTATTACTTCCTGTTTGAACAAGCATGTCAACACTTGGCACTTGAAGTGCAATTTGTTTAGAACTTAAGGTGTCAGCTTGAAAAATGTTATTTCCAGATCTAACCCACAACAAATTTTAGCGCAATAATCCAAGAAATAAATGAAAAAGAAAACAACCGCGGCACTTCAGAGTAACTCGTTCCCGGTGCAAACAGTACAGGATCTGGTACATTGAGGGAGGATACATGCTGTAAAAGCTCCCATCAGGTTCGTTGAATGGCCTCTTTTTCAAAACCAACCCTCTCCCATTTCCCGCAAGCAGTTTTGCACACAGGACGGATTGCTGGGGAAAACTGCACGGTGCAAATGAGAGAAATGCCCAAATCCAACTTCACGGCTGCAACTCATTAGATCAGCTACTACATTCTCGTGTTATTTGTGACACCTCCCCTGCAACAGTCACCCCACAGGCCAGCTTTCAACTTCCAGCCCAACCCGCAGCTCCTGGGTTTTAGTCTAACCTAATGTAGATATAGGTTTAGAGCTGGCTGAAACTCAGCATTTCAGTTCTGCAGGAAATTCTGACATTTCAAAACTTGTTTACATTCCAAACTGGAACAAAAAACTTTCAAAATTTCTCATGAAATCCCCTGGATGCAGATTCTTCTCCTTAAAATTCAGGGATGTTCTGATCTGGGGTTGGGGTCTGACCACATCTCTAGTTAAAAGATATGCTTGAGGATACAGGTGCAGAGAGCCAAACCCAGGACAAAGCTCAGTGTTCAAAAGACATGGGGGCTGGGGATAAAGAAAAAATCAAATCCTCAGTCCCAGCCTATATGGGAGACTCCACACCCATTCCTGCAGGCTGCTGATGATATTGTGTACAGGGGCTGGGGCGTATTTCTGGTTGAAAACCCTACAAAATGCAGAACTCTCTCCATCTCAGAAGATGATACCCTGGGACTTCCCAGGCTACTGATATAAATGGCTGATTCTTTTAGTACTAAAGATGGCTTTCTTTCCATACCCGGCTGGCCCAGTGGCCTTCCCAGCCCTGTATCCCCGCTTCCAGCACCGGCCGACGCCTGGTGCTGCAAGAGAAGGAACAAACACAAAGCGTTCTGCCAACTGTACAATGCTGGAGATGGGGCGGGTGAGGGGAGACCATTGCTACCCTTGCAGTGATCAGCTAATGGCCAGAAACAGGGGATTAATAATAAGAATATTAAGCTCTAATCAATACATCTCAAACTGCTTCACAAAGGAGGTCAGTATCATTATCCCCATTCTATAGAGGGGGAAACTGAGGCATAAAGAGGTGAAGTGACTTGCCCAAGGTCACCCAGCATCGAAACCAGGAATAGAACTCAGGAGTCCCAATCCAGGATTCTGCCCACTAGTCACCACCTCCCATAGAGGAGGAGGAGGATGATAACAAGCCATGAGTTTGACAACAAAGTAACTGCAATGTACGCACACAAACAAAACAAGGAGAGAGATTGCCTCTGGCTGAAGCCCACAGTAACCCAGCCAGTTAGGAAGTCTTAGCCCACACACCACAAAGTGACCTTCAGACCATTAAGAATCTTTAATTTAATCCCCATACTGAAATTCAAAGGAAGAGTGGAAATGATTCAGTTTGACTGTTGGCAAGTGCCGATTATTGGAGGTCAATCAAAGAAAACCAAATTGTAAAAATATTAACTATGAAAGCTTTTGCGAGAGAGGCAGCGTGGCCTAGTGGATTGGGCATGGGCTGGATTGTCAGAAGACCTAAGTTCTGAACCGGATGGTGACCTTAGCCAAAGGCCTCTCCCATCTTTTGTCTATTTATATTCCAAATTGTTCAGGCGGGGCTGTTTCTTACTATGTGTATGTACATCGCCAGACGCTTCAGTTAGAACACTACTGTAATAGGGAAAAAAACCATTGTTGCTTAAGAAAAGGGCATCACCTGGACTCTGACCATTTCAAACAATCACTACCACATCAAGCCAGCCCCGATGGGTGACATTCGAAACCTCTGCGCTTTTGTCCAAAATTTAAAAAACACCACCAACCCCTTCCCCCCCCAACCCCCCCCACAAAAACTAAACCAAATCAAACCATTTCACACGGAGCCCTGACGCTTGTTACACTCTGATCCTGGTCTGGCATTCAGGGGAGCATATGGCCACAGCATCAACAGAAAATATTTTCTAAAGCAGACTTAGAAGGATCAAAATGTTCCCCTTTAGTCTTGACACTGACGGCTCTCCAGCCAAAGAGAACAAATTCCGCCTTATAGTCCAGGAGGGTCGCACTGCGTAATCCTCAATAAAGGAATGTAAGGTCTGGGCAGAGCATTCCTGTTCAATGCCAGGCAGAAAGCAGCAAGGCAGCCACTGGGAGCTAAGGAGCGGAAGAAAGGGCTTGATCTGCAAATACGAGAAGTGATGCAAAGTAAACGGGGGTGGGGGGGTTATGCTCCCATATAGTGTCATTCAGCCAGAGACGACCCCTGGCAGAGTGAGGGCAGTGGCTTCAGCAGATGTTACTAAGCAAGCTCAGTCCATGTGAGCATGCTCACTACAAGTCAACTAACAAATCGGGGGTGGGGAGGCACAGGACCCCACATGACACCCCCCCCCCCCCACACACACACACACACATCACCTTTGCACACACCGTTCATGACTGGGGCTCCTTGGTGCTACTGCAGTACGAATAAATAATAATGCTGGAAGAATTCTTCCATCTGATTAATGCAGTGCTCCTAAATTCAATGGAGCAACCATGCAAATCTAGGAAGGCCCAAACCAGCTCGGTTCAAGTCACATGGGGCAGGCAGATTTGAGATGCCCTCAACTCAGCTTTGTCCAGAATTTACATTTGATCAAAACAAAACCTAAGAGCCACAAAGGTGTTTCCATGGCTGAACAGTGCGGAGAGTTTTTGAAACAAATGAATAGCACACGCCAGCCGAACGCCGCAGTGCTGGGAACCTGAAAGCGAAACTGACTATAAATGAAAGAGGGCAACTGGCTTCAGCGCTTTGCATGACTCTGATGGAGAGAAATGCATAGAGAAAATGAGCCATGAAAAGAAAACGGGACTTTTAAAGCCCTTTTTGTTTTAATAATCTAAGAAAAACACGTAAAGAAATGGGCTTGCTTAGGGTCCGTCTACTAAGGGGCGCTGGGCACCATTGGCTTCAATGAGACTGGCAGGTGCTCTGCAATGCTCAGGATTTGAGCCAGTGGTTATTTTTTAAGCCAACAGCATTTGTCTGCATCCCGAGGGCTATAAGGGACGGAGCAGTAAAACCATATCCCATCAATCATCTTCATAGTGCTATTTGTGTAAGCACACAGGGTTCCAAGCACACAGGCAGCTTTCAACACACATATTCAGTGCGTGCTTACAACGTTCACCGTCCCAAAGAAACCCTGCACATGCTGCAAATCAGACTCTTCCGAGCGCTCTCATGACATGCCAGCACTGGCATGCACTTTAACACAATAAAAAGGCCAATGCTTTGTGACAACCTGCACCGTAACCACCTGACTGGGCTGCGCACTGGCATGGAAGCATCTTTCACACACATATATGTGGTAACGTCAGCCTGCTCCACACACCCGCTCCTACTCACCCGCTTCCAAATAAAATACATAACTTACTTCTTGGTTCCCGGGGTCCATCCACAGTCACTTTAATGGCTCGGTGATAGGTAGCGACTTGTGTGGGGTTTGTGAACACTGTGATTGTCAATGTAAAGCTTTTTCCTAAAGGGGGAGAGAGAAAAAGAGGAGAGGAAATGCACATGGGTTGATTTCTTCAGTAAGCAGAGTGCATTCTGAGGCTTGGAACGCTTAGGCCCAGATTTCGGAAATGATCATGAAGCCACAAATGCTGCTGTACAAATGAAACTAAGGGAGCATCTGATTCATATATTTAAATTTGTGGGGCACTTTTTGTTGCTGGCAGGTACCAAGAAATTGGACCTGGTCCCACTGGAGTCAATGGCAAACCTCCCACTGAGAGAACTGGGCCCATTTCAGAATCAAAGCCAGAACCCTTTTTGATACATTATAACAGCCAGGATTATTTTTCCCTTCTACCTAGAACAGCTTCCTTCTTCTCATGTGCCAGGGCATTTCCTCCTCCCCATGCAAATCCATCCTCGAAACCCAGTGCTGTCAACTCACTTCCCGTCATTACTCTCAGACCTGGAGCTCTCTGCTCCCCAGCACCTGGGCACCGAGGGCCCGATTGTGCAACCACTGTTTGTGCCACTGGTCCCAGAGAGAGCTCAGGGCCTGAGCAAACTTCTCAGCATGAGTCAGGATTCCAGAATTGGGCCCATCAAAATAAAGTATTTTTAAAATGATAGAGACATACATTTGGACAATAAGGATAGATAGATAGATAGATAGATAGATAGATAGATAGAAAGTAAAGGCCTGATTGTGCAAACATTTACTACCAAGAGTAGTACTTACTACCATGTGCAATTCTATTAACTTCATTGGCACTGTACCCAGTAGTCAATAGCTGCATGACAAAGCCCTGATTTTTTTGAATTTACTGTCATGAACATAAGAACATAAGAAAGGCCGTACTGGGTCAGACCAAAGGTCCATCCAGCCCAGTATCCTGTCTTCCAACAGTGACCAATGCCAGGTGCCCCAGAGGGAGTGAACCTAACAGGTAATGATCAAGTGATCTCTCTCCTGCCATCCATCTCCACCCTCTGACAAACAGAGGCTAGGGACACCATTCCTTACCCATCCTGGCTAACAGCCATAAATGGACTTAACCTCCATGAATTTATTTAGTTCTCTTTTAAACCCTGTTATAGTCCTAGCCTTCACAACCTCCTCAGACAAGGAGTTCCACAGGTTGACTGTGTGCTTTGTGAAGAAGAACTTCCTTTTATTTGTTTTAAACCTGCTGCCCATTAATTTCATTTGGTGGCCCCTAGTTCTTATATTATGGGAACAAGTAAATAACTTTTCCTTATTCACTTTCTCCACACCACTCATGATTGTATAGACCTCTATCATATCCCCCCTTAGTCTCCTCTTTTCCAAGCTGAAAAGTCCTAGCCTCTTTAATCTCTCCTCATATGGGACCCGTTCCAAACCCCTAATCATTTTAGTTGCCCTTCTCTGAACCTTTTCTAATACCAGTATAGCTTTTTTGAGATGAGGAGACCACATCTGTACACAGTATTCAAGATGTGGGTGTACCATCAATTTATATAAGGGCAATAAGTTATTCTCCATCTTATTCTCTATCCCTTTTTGAATGATTCCTAACATCCTGTTTGCTTTTTTGACTGCTGCTGCACACTGCGTGGATGTCTTCAGAGAACTATCCACGATGACTCCAAGATCTCTTTCCTGATTAGTCGTAGCTAAATTAGCCCCCATCATATTGTATGTATAGTTGGAGTTATTTTTTCCAATGTGCATTACTTTACATTTATCCACATTAAATTTCATTTGCCATTTTGTTGCCCAATCACTTAGTTTTGTGAGATCTTTTTGAAGTTCTTCACAGTCTGCTTTGGTCTTAACTATCTTGAGCAATTTAGTATCATCTGCAAACTTTGCCACCTCGCTGTTTACCCCTTTCTCCAGATCATTTATGAATAAGTTGAATAGGATTGGTCCTAGGACTGACCCTTGGGGAACACCACTAGTTATCCCTCTCCATTCTGAAAATTTACCATTTATTCCTACCCTTTGTTCCCTGTCTTTTAACCAGTTCTCAATACATGAAAGGACCTTCCCTTTTATCCCATGACAACTTAATTTACATAAGAGCCTTTGGTGAGGGACCTTGTCAAAGGCTTTCTGGAAATCTAAGTACACTATGTCCACTGGATCCCCCTTGTCCACATGTTTGTTGACCCCTTCAAAAAACTCTAATAGATTAGTAAGACATGATTTCCCTTTACAGAAACCATGTTGACTTTTGCCCAATAATTTATGTTCTTCTATGTGTCTGACAATTTTATTCTTTACTATTGTTTCAATTAATTTGCCCGGTACTTTTTGATGTTAGACTTACTGGTCTGTAATTGCCGGGATCACCTCTAGAGCCCTTTTTAAATATTGGCATTACATTAGCTATCTTCCAGTCATTGGGTACAGAAGCCGATTTAAAGGACAGGTTACAAACCATAGTTAATAGTTCCGCAACTTCACATTTGAGTTCTTTCAGAACTCTTGGGTGAATGTCATCTGGTTCCGGTGACTTGTTACTGTTAAGTTTATCAATTAATTTCAAAACCTCCTCTAGTGACACTTCAATCTGTGACGATTCCTCAGATTTGTCACCTACAAAAGACGACTCAGGTTTGGGAATCTCCCTAACATCCTCAGCAGTGAAGACTGAAGCAAAGAATTCATTCAGCTTCTCCGCAATGACTTTATCGTCTTTAAGTGTTCCTTTTGTATCTTGATCGTCCAGGGGCCCCACTGGTTGTTTAGCAGGCTTCCTGGTTCTGATGTACTTAAAAAACATTTTGTTGTTATCTTTCGAGTTTTTGGCTAGCTGTTCTTCAAACTCCTCTTTGGCTTTTCTTATTACATTTTTACACTTAATTTGGCAGTGTTTATGCTCCTTTCTATTTACCACACTAGGATTTGACTTCCACTTTTTAAAAGATGCTTTTTATCTCTCACTGCTTCTTTTACATGGTTGTTAAGCCACGGTGGCTCTTTTTTAGTTCTTTGACTGTGTTTTTTAATTTGGGGTATACATTTAAGTTGGGCCTCTATTATGGTGTCTTTGAAAAGTGTCCATGCAGCTTGCAGGGATTTCACTCTAGCTTTTAATTTCTGTTTAACTAACCTCCTCATTTTTGCACAGTTCCCCTTTCTGAAATTAAATGAACGTCCTTCTCTCAGCAGACCTCTCTTGCCTCTTGCTTTCCGCTCTTCCCCACCCTCCCTCGGTTCTTTGTTCTGTTGCTGCTCTTCACTTCATTATCTGGAGACAGGAGCCGTAAGAGCTGAACCTTGCATCTGAACGGCCCCGAACTTTGGGGGCAAAGATAAAAAGGAAACAGGAGACAAACCAATCCCCCTTGCTTTCAGTTTTGCAAAACCAAAAGCAGACCAGGGAGGGTTTGAGGCTCTGATGATTGTGGGCTCGTACTCATTTGCTTACTTGTCTATAGAGCACTAAGGTGTACTGCGGTGAGGGATCTAGATCAGGAGACAGGCTGACAGAAAAATGATTTAAAATACCAGTCTTAGGGATGAGGGATTAAATTACATTTTTCAAGTTAATAGCGTTTATTTTTAAATCGGGATAATGTTGTCAAACGGCTCGGGGAACGTGTGTCTTTGTTAATAATGAAGTAGCAATATTTTGCACTGATATAGACACACTTTGTTTCACCCAGAGCTCTGAAAGCACTTTGCCAAGGGGTGAGCTATCGTTATCTTTGTCTTACCGAGGGGGAAACAGAGACACAGAGAAGCTAAATGACTTGGCCAAGGTCACTGGGTGACTCAACGACAGCAGAGCCAGGAATGGAAACAAGGTCTCCAAACTCCTCCCCCACCATTCCAACCACTAGACAATACTCTTTGCCATAACCAAGGCTGCAACCCAAGGGACAGATCCTCAGCTGGTGGGAACTGCCATAGTTGACACCAGCTGAAGATCTGTCTCCAAGAATCCTGCCTCCCGACTGCCTTCTCTGACTGCTAGACTATACTCAGAGCTTGGAAGAGAAAACCAGCCGAACCAGAAGTCCTGATTCCAGGCCCTATGCCCGAACCATTAGATCACAGCTGCCCTTCTGGATTGGACTACGCTCAGCACCGGTGGAAGCTCACTGATATTATCACCAGACTCACAGCCAGAATGCAGGATTTAACAAAACCATTGTTATAATGGACTCTACTCTTGCCAGCTCTCAGGACTGTTTGCGGGATGAGCTTGTAGCTGTTTCACCTTGACTACCAGCCACAAAGCACTTTTGCTACCATATATCTCGTCTGGACAAATCCCATTTTACTGCCCTTAGGTCCTTGTGCATTCATTACACACACACACAAACACACACACGTTTTCACTATAGCTGAGCAAACACTGTACAGCAAAAAAAAAAAAAAAATCATTCGCTCCAATATCATTTTTTAGATATCTACAATAATTTAAAAGGGATGCTCTATCCAAATACTCCACACACCCCAGACACCAGTGACAAAAACAAACATTGCAATTAAATGATTTATTCGTCTAAAATCAAATTGAATTTTAAAAAGATGGAGTCTCTCCCTGTGGGTTAACGTCTCACATCTATTCTACTGAAAATATTTCCTTGCAGGATTGTTCATGGAAAATGGCTAATTTTAAGTGGATACTAGAGGGTGAAATTCACCCTGATGCAGAGAGCCAGCACAGAGCGCAGGTATCACTTAAGACCTCAGATTAGGACTTAAAGGGTGCAAACACCTTGTACTGGCTTTCTGCATAGAGGTGAATTTCCCCCAAAGTAAATTTCAGTATCAAATGCAAGTATTTGCACTCACAACCTATGCTGAAGAGTTCCACTTATGCAAGGTAGGAAACACAAAGAACATGACGTGACCTTTGCATCCAATCAGAACTAGCCAGCACAGTGAGACCATCCCATAGCAAAATACTCTCAGTGAAACAACTCACAGATCAGGAATTATTAGCAGAATTTATTCATGGAGCAAGTTCAACGATAGGCAATAAGATTAGAGACAATTTCTGTCTGCTCACGTGCAATTCACAAACAGAGGGGGGAGGGATAGCTCAGTGGTTTGAGCATTGGCCTGCTAAACCCAGGGTTATGAGTTCAATCCTTGAGGGGGCCACTTAGGGATCTGGGGCAAAATCAGTACTTGGTCCTGCTAGTGAAGGCAGAGGGCTGGACTCAATGACTTTTCAAGATCCCCTTCCAGTTCTAAGAGATGGAATATATCCATTAATTTATTTTATTTAGAACAGGAGGCAAAAGCCTTCCAGTAAATTATTTGGTACGACGCTTAGCACAAATACATGAACAATAACGTTCAGATTATCAGTCTGGTCTAATGCCTAGCCCAGACATTTAGGAGATTTAAACCCTGGATTCTCTTCCCAGCTCTGCCTATTTTACAGAAATGACTTGACTTCCCTGAATTTCAGTTTCACCCTCTGTAACATAGGGTTCATAATAACACTTTCCTCCCTCCCTGGGGGCATTGGCTTCAGTGGGAGCAACCTGTATTCATCTGATAGCAACATGTGATGCTTAGTGTTTCTAAAGCACTGTAGAGCTCCTCAGATGAATTGCATTATATAGCGCAAATTATTATTATTATTACTCAGAATCAATTTACTCATTCCCATCCTTCTTTGGTGACAGACTAGAACAAGTACAACTTGAGCAATTTCAACCCATCTCCCTCCCCAGACACACCATTATGCACAACATCAATCATTCTAGGCAGTCTGACTGCATAAGAAGGCCTCAATTCACGTTCCAAGCTTCCTACTTCGGGCAAATTGCTAATTATGGGCCAGATTCCAAATGTCCTTACTCACATTGAGTAGTACCTTGCTCCATAAGGAGTTCCACTGATTTCAATGGGGCTACTCCCAGAGCAAGATAATGTTCAATGGGTCTTTGTGCAAGTCATTCAATCTCTCTGTACCTCTGTTCTCCATCTGTAAAATGGGAGTAAGAATATTTTTCTTTCCCCCCACTGTTCGTCTTGTCTATGATTGTAAACTCTTTGGGGCAGGGATTTTTTCTTGCTATATGTTTGTGCAGCTCATGGAATAATGGGGTACCGATCTCAGTTGGTGCCTATCAGTGTTACCTTAATAATAATAATAATAATAATAATAATGATATACCAGAATCTGGTATGATGAGATCTTGGAGTAGATTCTGTCTAATCACGTTTTACACATATAGTTCATGCATCTCTCTCATAGCTGATATGGAAACATACATGAATCAGAGGCCCAAATTCGGCTCGCATACAACACTCCAGATTTCTGTTGGTGTAGACAAGCGCAGAATCTGGCCCTCTTAAAGATTTAAAAGCTCAAACAGGAGGAAGCAACGTGTGACAGAGAAAGCAGAAACCTGACAGAAATCATTTCTATCACTAATTTTTTTTAAAGATATTTGGCCAAATTCTGCTTTCAGCCTCGTTATTCGGGAAAGCACTTAAGCATGGTGTTCAATTGTAGGCACATGCTTGAAGTTTTGATTTAGTTGGGATTAGGTCCTGCTTTGAGCAGGGGGTTGGACTAGATGACCTCCTGAGGTCCCTTCCAACCCTGATCTTCTATGATTCTATGATTCTAAGTTAAGCATGTACGTAGGTACTTTCACATACCATATAGATAAGGGAGGTATAGATAAATTAGAAAATGGACACACATTCCAGTGCAGATTCCAAGTAACTCCACTGAGGTCAGTTGAGTTATTTTAGATCGAAGGGAGAAGAATTTGGCCCATTGGGCCCAGGTTGTGCATTCTTGCTTCTACCCTCCCCAAACTCCTATTGACTTCCTTGCTGCTCAAGGAAAGCAGGACTGTCCCCATTAGTCAGCACAAGATGAACATGTTAGGGTCTAGTCTTGACATATGCGTCTAAGTCATAAGTGCACCTAGGGCCTGATCCAAAGCCCATTGAAGCCAATGGGTGTCTTTCCACTGATTTTCATGGGCTTTGATCAGGTCCATGGTTTGGGAGACAGACTGTACATGTAAGTGCTTTCAAGAGACAGTGAACTCCTGTTGTTTCAGGGCATGAACATGGGAACCCAGGGGAGGAAAATTAATAATGAATTCAAGAGTCAGGCTGAGATTGGGTTAGATTCATAGGGCAAGAAGGATCCTCTTGACTGACCTCCTGCACATCCCAGGCCACATAAGCTCACCTACCCACTCCTGTAATAGGCCCCTACCCTCTGGCTGAGTTACTGAAGTCCTCAAATCTTGGTTTTAAAACGTCAAGTTACAAAGAATCCATCATTTACTCATTCGGGTTGGAAATGTGTGTAAGAAAGATGAACAAAAGAGAGAGCCTAAGAGAATAATTGACTACAGAAATGAAAGCTGAATTCATAAAAGAAAAACATTTTCCATCCATCAACCTGCAACCAGTTAAGTGGAGAGTTTTAAAGAAAATCTGCAACTTGGAAAAGGAGCCAACAGGAAAACGGAAATGTCTGAAAGAATGTAAACTATTCCAGTTTCATAAAGAGTAACAAGTAAACAATTATTACATGCAAATAATTTTTAACATCGCTGGTTTTAATTAATGCCGAGAAGTCAAAATATCTTTGACATTTGTATGTATACATTTGAAAAGTTAGAGAAAACACTGCCATATGGCCATTAAAATATTGGGTTTAACTTTTTGAGAAGAACGAACTGCTTAAATCTGCAGTGTTTACTGGTGATGAAATTTTAAATTTCTATGTCAAATATGGCTGCAATGAATAATGCATGACAGTAAGGGATATAATACTTGCCTTCAAAAGTTGTCTGGCCTGCTGTATAGTTTAGAATTGTAGTTAGTGATATAGCACAATGTCATTTCATTGATGGTTGTTTTTAAAAATTATGCATTATGATTAGTTTAAGGTTAAATTATAGTGTCATAGCTTTTTAAGACCAGAAGGGATCATTAGATCATCTAGTTTGACCTCTTGTATATCACAGGCCATAGAATTTTATCCAGTTAGTCCGGCATTAAGACTAATAACATGCTTGACTAAAGTATATCTTCTATGCAGTCTTGCTCTGAAGACTTCCCTTGGTAGTTTGTTCCAATGGTAAATCACTCTTCCTGTTAAAAAGTTGTGCCTTATTTCTAATTTGAACTTGTCTTGCTTTAACGTCCTATAACTATTAAATTTAACAAATTAGGTTAGTCTCATACCTTTAGAATATGACACTATGTCAGGGTATATACTGCACTCTGGAATTTCTTCTCACAAGAGTTTCAAATCTTTTTGTTTGTTTGTTTAACTCGTCTTCTAATAAGTTTAGCATTGAACCTGGAAGGACCGTAAATTGATTATAATATTCAACAATATATTTTACCAATAACTTCCTTTTCTTTGAGGGGTGAGGGTAGGGTAGGGGAATAGTATTAGTCACACTTCAAACTCTCCATCTACAAGCTCTAATAATAATTATAAGCTTGTGTTGACTATGTCTAGTCACTGCAAATATTTACTTCCCTTCTTATAAATCCTGAACAGACGCAGCATAAGTGACTGTGTTTAAAGTGGTACCGAAGAGCCATTTGGACCTTTACGCTGCTATCCATTTATGGACTAATCCAATGGGAATCTTTTCATAGATTTTAATGGGCTTTGCATCAGGCCTGCAGTCTGGAAAAATGGATACGTGTCTTTTTGTGCAATTTTAGTGTGGAAGGGTGAGAAACGAAAGCGAGTAGATTTAGGTTACAATAATCAACAGCTTCGTATGTTAAAAATAGATTGCTTTCCCTCTTGACGTATGACTTTTGTGCATAAATGTAGGTAAAGCCCAAAAGAATAATGCAATGCAAAACAGTGGAATCCAGCGTATACTGACCCTAATAATAATTGAATGGGCCCAATTCTGATTCCATTGAAAGCAGTGGCAAAACCTCCATTGACTTCATGGGGAGCATGATTAAGTCCCGCATCGCTCATTTCCAAAGCTGGCAATTCTGGTGCCTCTCATGAAATCACATATAGTTATAAATGATTTCCCCTCCTCCCCACACTTTAGAAGGCCATTCCACAGCTACAAAGACATCTCCATGCTGATTTGCAGCTGCTTTAAAATCAAAGCCTTGTAGAGTTACGTAGGAGACCGTTACCTACCTCTGCCACTTCGCCCAACAAATCTGAGGTCATTAAACCTTGCCACTTGATTTTTCATGACCGCGGAGGCATTTCTGAGCTCTGCAGAATAATTCTCATCATTTCCAGCCATGACTGTGACTACAGTCCCATCAGGTACATCTCCAAGGGCTACCACCTAAAGATCAGTGCAACAAAGTTATTTGATACTATTCATTATTATTATTATTATTAAGCTGATCAAAGCAGGCTCATCATTCTGTAACCAGACAGGAGGAATTGTCATTCTGAGTAGAAAAAAGTATTGATTTTTTTTTTTAATTAAAACTGAAATATATTTCTTTGGGGGAAAATTCAAAAGAATTCAAGTTCCTTTCATCAAATAAAACTGGCAAATTATGTCCTGATAGCTGAATGATCCCCCTGTTTTCTTAATAGGTGGATTTGTATATTTTGAAATTCCTGGGTTGTTTTTTTTTTTAAAGTCAGAGTCAAAATATTGTTAAAATGCAAACAATTTTCAGTGAAAATTTTGCCTGAGTGAAAACAGTCGGATTTCTCTTGTAAGAAATATATCTCTATATAATCGGCCTGCGATGATCGCTAATAGCACTATCCAAGTATGGAAGAGAATTACATGTCAAGAATTCCATTGTATGTAACTCAGTTACATACTCTAGGATTTCATCTTTAATTTCCACTTCAGAAGCTAAGCTGTCTATTACACACGCCACAACACACGCAGTTTTAACAGAAAATTCCACAGAATCATTCCAAATATTGTCAAGATTTCATTCTTTAAAAGGGCCAGGTGCATCTGTTATTCTAAACAGCTATGGCAGCCGACACAAAATATCCTCTTTCAGTCCTATAAAATACAGCCGAGCCTGTATTCGTTTTAAAATAATTGCTAAAGGGAGTTTTTCTGCCCCACGCTAGTTTATATAAATACCTATTTGTAAAAGGATTCAAATAAACCGCTGGAGCTGAAGAATATTTTAAAAGCCACGTAATTTAGGGGCTGCGACATCATTTTTGCTATTATGCAAAAGGACAGTTTCCCTCTAACTACCTTGGATCGAAACCTACCAGGTTTCTTCTTTGATTTCAGTTGGATGTAGCTCTGTTAAGCTTTAGAATTTTGGAAAACTCAGACTCTCAGAAATAAAGGAACTCATATTTTTCCATCGACTTTCAATATCTCTCGTGTAGCGAGAGATCTCCATATTATTTAAGATCATCGGTTTTTTAAGCAGGGATTATTTTTTTCTTTTTCAGCCTTTTCTTGATTTGAGAGGGGAGACAACATTCAAACGTTATATTTACACTCCGAGAGTTGAAATGTATCTTCTGACTTTGATCATTTCCCCAGGCTTATTTGCTAAACGTTTGTGCTCTTAAAATATTATCTGCACCAATGATGTCAAGCCCCTTTGGTTTTCTCTCTTGCTATTGCTCAGTCTGCTTTCTTGTCGGTCTATCATTTGAGTCAAAGAAATTAAACTCAAGTTTTAAAAGATCATTCATCACTTCCCTCCGCCCCCAAAACACGACAACACAGTTTTGAATTTGTTGGGTTTGGTTTTCAGTTTCTTTATATCGTTTTTATATTAACTCCTTTTCCCATACATTCAGATCAGATACATTTTCTAGTCACATCTCCCTAACGCACACATATAATTACTTTTTGCAATAGCCAAAAAAATTACATGTCCTCCATAAAGAACCTTTTCTCTGTAGCCTTTCCTTAGCTAGCCTATAACCGCTCTAAAACAGTGCTCTGAAAGGTTTTCGTCCTTTATTAACTCCAGCCCTCAGTTTCTGGTTTGTTTGTTTTTTCCCCCCAAGTCTATATTTTAATACCCTCCCATTCTTCCTAAGAAACTGAAGAGAAACTCCATAAATCCTTAAGGGATCTGCGTTCAAGTTGACTGCGAAAGATTTATTTTCGCCTTTATTGTTTGGCCTGATCATGAATCCAGAATAAAGACTTTTGTGGTCTCTTAGTTGGGATCCGTGGTGAAAGATCTGGGTCTGTGTAAGGTGACTGTCACATATGTCTGCTATCTTTCTTCCTCGCATAGTTCTCCCCCCCCCCTTCAGTCTATACATCCAGAAACAGAAACCCGGTCGATTTTTAATGTTTAACTATCCCATAGGAGCCAACTGACTGAGTGAATTACAACTGGGACAAAAGCAACGACGAAGCAACATGGAAAGGAAAGAAGCTGCCCTTTAATGAAGCCCAGTTGTCTCTGCAGTTCACTTCTTCCCTTTATTATTTCAGAGCAGATCTTCCCCCTCCCACTTAGGTAATTAGCCTCGACTCTCATTAAACTTCAAAGTTCCCTGAGAGCTCCTAACCCTATGCAATATCGGAGATATTATAACCGCAGGGCAACGCGAAAGCTTGATTAAAAATAAATACGCGCCCCGAAAGTGAAGGCAGAATTGATTTAAAATGAAAGGGGGGCGGGAGCTGGAGTGTAAATATTAAGGTTGATTTTCGTAGGTAAGATTCTCCCCACGTATCCTCGCCCCTAAAAAAGCCTCTCATCCTTCTCCTCCCGTCCCCAGCCATTGCTCCGGGGGATCGGACAGGGTTTTAGCCCATCCCTTTGGAAGAAGCCACATCTGGCTGGTCTGGAAACATCTGCCTCCCCCTCCCCGCCCCTTGGCTTACCTTGAAGGCCACCGGCAGGGTCTTGTTGCACCTCCAGTGTGAAGGCAGCACCGAGCACAAGAAGTTGGGGCTGTCTGTCCGCACCAGCTCGCCCGCGTGGTCCGCCAGCACGTCCACCACCGAGCGCACCTCGGGCCGACTTCGGGAGCCCGGCGCCGGCGCGCTCAGCGCCCCGCTGTTCTCTCCCATCTTACCGCAGGGGAAGGCCGTGGAGGGAGGTGTGAAGCGCCGGCTGGTGCTGGGGTCTACGGGAATACGCATCACAACAGCGGGCGTTAGAGAGCCGGCGAGCGAGGGGCGCGGGGGGCGAGGGGCTGGCGGGCCGGGGGAGCTGGGGAGAGGCGCCCGGAGCGCGCAGCTGCCCTCTCCAAACCAGGGGCCGGCCGGGTCCGATGCAGCTTCTCGGGGCAGCGCTTTATAGAGAGCAGGAAAAGAAGAAGCGGCCGAGGGAGTCGGGGTGTGACCTGCGCTCAGGAAACGCGCCTCCGCCGTGTCAGGGGCTGGGACTCGCAGCGCCCTTCGCCTCCTCCTCAGGCCAAAGGAGCCGGGGGAAAGGTCGAGTCACAGCTGGGGCGAAGGGGGACCCCGGATCCTGAGGGTCACCCGTGGGCTCCGGCGCCGGGCTGGCGTCGCGTGGAGACAGGGCTCGGGTGGCGAGCTCCTGGGCTCTCTCCTCCCTCCCTGCCCGCAGCAGCCGGCCCTGGAGTCAGGCAGCGAGTCCCCCTCTTTGCCGGATCTGGGCGATTCTGCCCACGGAGCCTGGGCGCGCCCGGGGTCCCTTGGCACGGGGGCAGGTCTCCGGGCGCTCTGCCGGGGAGCTGGCCGGAGCCCACGCTCGGTCCCGGGAGGTTTCCTTCCTCTCTGGTGCTGAAGCCGCTTTGCAAACCGGTGCGCGGTCGCTGGGGCCTTTCCTCCAGCCAAACTTCTGCCCCCCGAAGGTGCAGCGCTGCGGGAGTTGACCCCCGAGGGCCCAGCCACCAGTCAGCGAGCCTGGGAGGAGACGCGCCCCCGCCAACCCCCAGAAGGGATGCCAGGGACGTCCCAGAAACAGCTCCACCGTCCTCTCCTGCCCGTTCCTCACTGGGTGTGGGGCCCCAGTCCTGAACACCTGGGCTCCCCCGCCCCCACTTCTATGGCTCGCAGGTGGGGGCTGGTTTTTTGACGCTGCCCCCCTTTCACCAGAGAGCCCTTCAGAGCTCTGAAACCAGCCCAAAGTGTCCGCAGGCAGACTCTGAGATACCCTATTTACTCCACGCAGCCAGGGGGCGGAGCGGCTCGCTGACTGACGGGGAGGAGCGCCAATGGAGAGGAAGGGCTGGGAACCCCCATTTGCACACGTTGCCTGGGAAAGCGATAGAAGCAAGGGGAGGAGGGGGCGGAGCGAGGAGGCGAGGGGGCGGGATCTCTGCGGGAAGCCCCGCCCCCCCAAGCCCCAGCCTGGAAGGAGCACGCACCTAGCGGACCGGTGGCACATTAAAACACGCCTAGACAGAGCGCTCCATTCAGCGGCGCTTCATTAAGAGGCCGGAGCCAATTAAAACGTTGCTTTATAGCCTCACCTATTGCGGGACGGAGCAAATGAGCCAACAAGGACGCCACCCGCTGCGGCAATTGTCTCTGAGTCGCCCCAAACTTTCACACGCTGCAGAGACACGTGGCTCTTAACCCCAGAGTCCGTCTAGATGCCCGTCTGCATCCTACCCTGCAAACTCCAGCAGCGAAACGTGTCTGAAGCCCAGACGCAGCCCTGCCGCCCCAAACAGCGTCCAGCCATTTCCAAAATAAAGGGTCAAAATAAGAAACGAGTGAGAATTGACCTCTCCAAGAAACCGCAGAGCGGTGCCTGCTTTCGCAAAGCGCTAGCGAGCTGGCAGCGAGACTGACCGATTTGCTAGGCGTTTTTAAAATGGTCCAACCCCAAAGGAAAAAGATCTAGAGATTATTTACTAATTATCAACTCACTGCTGTGTATGTAACATCAAAAGGACACAACCGACAGCCCTCATGATCAGTCTGATACCCGCAACAGGTCGGATAGCTTTAGCCAGTGTGAAATGCATTTCCAGACGGACATTGACATCTGGACCTAAGAATACATTGTGCAAAGGAGTTTGGGGGCTTTTATTTTATGAACATGCTTCCTCCGCTATCTTACTTTCCCAAAATGAAATTGACACAGGCACAGATAGAAAAGCGGATCGTTTCAGGACAAAATCCTATTTACCATTATCCTTTTTTTTAAAATGTCTATTTTAGCAACTCTTAAAACAGTAATAATCATGATCATTCCCAATGCATTTGTTTGGATTTAAAACCAGGGAAATACATGTTTTCAAAATGGAATTTTAACAAGAAAATCTGTAGGGGGCAAAATGATACTGATTCTGTGAGAATAAAATTAATTGATCGTTTGTAGTTTTTGTTTCATATTTGCATACAGTTTTTTTTACAGATGTGTCGTCTTTCTAATAAAATATAAAACCGCTACAACGAAATGCACCGCAGAATAGTCTATAAAATAGTGTTTTTGTCGCATTTGAACACAAATATTACTAATGTGTCCAATGGAAATGAAAGCACCATCACACACAGTTTAACTGCTGACTTATTTCTAAAAGGACGTTATTTTTCTGCACCATCATGTCCAGGGAGGTGAATCGATTGCTTTACTTCAACAGCTTCGCTGGTCGGTTTTACAAATTCCTTTATGGGACATGGCATGTTCTCTGTAGCAAGCCATTCAGTCTACACCAGATCAGAAACTGTTTAGATTCTGGGCTGGGTAAACTGTTCGTTGGACTATGTAAAAAAAAAAAAACCACCCCCCATCATAAATAAACACTGGTTATGAGCCACTTTTCTTTTGAGGTCGTAGATACTGAAAGAAGGTTTGAGGCTGCGGCAGCACCGACACATTGAACTCGATTAGGGGCTTTTGTCTTCCAAATCCCTCCAATTTCTATCCATTCCCTGGAACCTTTTCTCGATATCATTTCATACGATTGTTTACTTTGATCCTTTCCTACAGAATTCTAATCTAGAAAATTGACTAAGGAGCCAACATTGCAGTGTTTGTTAAACAGAAGAACCCCATGTCAATTTCACTAAGCTTAACATTTTTTTCCTTGTGCTTTCCAAGCCGATTTATGATTTTTCAATAACCAAATCTCTGTGAATGGTTTGGTTATATATTAAAACGGATCCAAACATGCTCATGTTGAAAGTTGCTTTTCTGTGCGTGTGTGTGTGTGTGTTTAGACTTCTCCGTAATGAACATTAAATGAAAAGAAACCTCAAACGTAGACCATCTTGAAACACAATCGTGGAAAATTGAATGGGGGTGCGGAGGGGGGGAGGGACGGCTGGCTGAAATCACAAAGGGAGAAATCCAGACGAACAGATTTCTATTTGTCTCACAGCTGTGATTTTAATTGACGTGTGTGTCTAATCAACTCTTAACAATGCTGCAATCCTTCCCTTTTTAGGTGAAAATCTAAGGTCCGTAGATTCATCCCTGTTCTTTTCCACAACAAAAGAGATCGGCATAGCCATGTTCCACAGAAAGCACCAATGTCTGGTTATACTTATAAACCCAGTAACGGGGGAGAGATTTGAATACAGCCCTGGCAGCAGGGGGTGGATAGATGTGACCCAAATGATCTGTCTCTTCCAAAGATTTTTTTTTAGAAGGGGTATCTTCAAACGAAGCCAAGTTCCTCCATGGCTCCATTTAAAGGGCGTGGTTTGGGGGGAGGGGGCGGGGAAGGGGCTCACAGATGTTGAGTGGGGGGGGGGTTGTCACCCCCACCCACGTTTGCGCGTTGGAAAACCTGGAAGGGCGGGTTAGCCACACCCAAGCTGAACGGCGGAGGAAGTGAAGTTCTTCGACTCAGCCGCTAGTTGGCGCTTTAGCCACGTCTCTGAACCGCCCTAAGAGCAAAGGGACCCGGGCCGCTGGGAGCAGCTTTGCCAGCTCTGGGCGGCTCCGTTTTCTATCCTGTGCCGAATCAAAGACCCACCGCACCCCGTGTGCCCCCCACCACGCCTCCCCAACAATCCCCCTTCCCGGCCCCCCAAACCTGGCTCCCTCGATGAGTCCCATACTAGCCGCAGGATGGTTGTTACATTCTGCAGCCAGGAGGTTCCCATTGTGCCCCGCCAGTTTTGTCCAATCAGACCCACGTGCTCCCCAAAGATCCGGCGCTGCGCCCCGGGAAAGTCTGTTACCGACCCTTCTCTCCCCACTGGAGAGACACAGACACCGTCTCTTTCATCTGCCCGGTGAAAGCTTCCATAGACTTCCCCCCCGAAAGGGAAACTTTGTGTTACAGGCTCATTTGCCGCAATCTTTGGGATCAACCACACGGGAGGGGGGGATACAGGAACATTCCTCTGGCTTTCAGAATTTATTTTGACATTTAAACTCGATTTGTCTGGATTTGTTTGTTTTTAAGTTAAACTAGATACATTTATTCCCCCCCCCCCTCGATTTATTCCCGGTTAATATGATGAGAAAGAGATGGGGGTCTCTTTCCAGTGAGCTTCAGTTGCTTTTCTAACAGGAACGTTTTGATCAGGGCAGGTTTTATACACGATTTGACCTCCCAGAAATTGCCAGATTGTCAAAATCTCACTCAGCAGCTGCCAGGGGAGAATCTGGCTGGTTTATTTAGCAGCCTAAATAGAAGCCGAGTTCTGTGGAGCACCTGGTTTTTAGAGATTAAAGCAGAAAAGAAATGTCTAATTTTTCAATCTCTTTCCAGTGATCGAACCCTGCAGGCTACTTAAACTCAAAAGGAAGCGGTTTAAAATGGTCGGTACCAGCTGGGAACGTCCCGTCAGTGGAAACGGATTCGAAGGATCCAGATCTAAGTGGTGTGAATCACCAACGATCGCTGATATTTTCACTGATTGTGAACGGCTCTGATCTGCTAATCTGAGCAAATAAAATTTGCCAGGTGATTGACTTCGCCGAAGCTCACAGCTAAACTTTCCCAGTGCCAGCCCCGGGGCATTCCCCAATTAACCCCCTCAAACGCTTCGCTGCACTTTAACTCCACGCCTAAAATAAATAAATAAATAATATAAGATATCCCAGACCCTCGGGTCTAATATTTTCTATACGCTGCAGCTCACGAGAATTTCACCAGGGGTTTAATGCACCTGAGTGGGTTTATTGGAGAAGCCAGAGATAAATGCTGGTTTTCTCTCTCCCTCTAATACATACACAATATGGTGCGTGTGTGTACACACACAGAGTGCTACAGACTGCACTGTATACAAAACAGGGCAGACTGCTCTTACATACAACATGGCAAACCATGCAGAAAGTCAGTTGCAGGGAGCACATTTTCCAGCGATTCCGCTAGTTGCCTTATTTCTCAGTTGCTCTACAGGTTTCTCCTGAGTAACGGA